GTCATTTTTTCCCCCTCATTTTTACTTTATGGAGTGCCCAAAGGTGAAATTTGTTTAAACTCTTTTACTGGTCACTCTCTGTTATCAGTATATTAATCATATTTTATATTAAACATTTAAAAGATGTAATTACAGAGGCCAAAGACCACAGGGTCACACATGAAGCAAAAAACACAGGGAAGGACATGTTTTTCTACATGAAAGTAACAGCACGTCTAAAGAAAGCATGGGCAATATGGTACATAAAACATGTGTTTTTGTAATCATAATTTAGAGGTAATTGTAGATACTTAAGAAAAAATTTCACTGGTAAAACACACGGTGTATAACACCTTAAAATTGTAAAACAAATTCAAAATGACACACATACATCAGATCATAACCTACATCACACAACTTGATAAAATTATTCAGAACATGGTGTGCATTTGTAAAATCTTCTGTAGGTCTGCTGTGACAACAAAACGTGATAACCCATTCAGAGTGCATTATAGGATCATGGGGTAAGATCACAACATGTGGCCATTTGTGCCATAATCTTATTTTAGACAACTTACCCTAAGTAAACGTTTCAACAGAAAAAATAATAGAAAGATGATCACTACAGCAGCCCTATCTTTAATAAGGGACTTCCCAGGTATTAGTGGTAAAGAATCCACCCGTCAATGCAGGAGACTTAAGAGACACAGGTTCAATCCCTGGGTTGGGAAGATCCCCTGGAGAAGGGTATGGCAACCTACTCTAGTATTCTTGCCTGGAGAAACCCATGGATGTAGGAGCCTGGTAGATGACAGTCCACAGGGTTGCAGAGTCAGACATGACTGAAGCTACTTAGCACAGCTTTAATAAGAGCAAGCCGCAAACATTTAACGTACTCAATAATGGCAGGATGACCAATAATGAGAAGAACAGCTGATGTTGGCTCACTGGTAAAGTGACAGTGTAAAGTACTGAAGATGCTGTGTATTTTAACAACATAAGCTTGTATATTAACAACATAAGCTTGTATTTCAACCCTGGTGTGACCTTTTACTAACTGTATGACCTTGAGAAGCTGCTTAACATGTCTTATGTTCATTTTCTCTTTTAACAAAAGGAGATTTAATACTTATATTAGAAGATTATGAAGATTTAAAAGTCCAAAGTGACTTACACAGAATCTAAAACGTAGAACTTGAATAAAAACTCCCTTCTGTCTCTTACAGACATTAACATTGAGAAGATCATGGAGAAACAATGAAAAATATTTACTATTCATTAAGGAAAACAGTGAATATAAAACTGTATATACAGTGTAATTATAATTTAGCAATGAGCTGTAACTAATAATTAAGTTTGAATGAGGAAAATTAAAAGGTACACATGCAAATGGATTAAAAAAGACCAGCAGGTCATGAATAAAAATTATAATAATAATTTGAAATGGTAAAATAATAGCAGAACTATGAACAAAATTTTAATACTGTTATTTTAGTTTTACAATTTAAAAAAGTAAATGGATATGTAGGTATGTGTAGAGAACTGAAGAAAGTCCTACTACTATGGAAAACAAACATCATCACTAGTCATTGAGACAGAAACTGTGAAACCTGCAGCCTAAACTCTACTTCTTAGGGCAGAGAACCTGAAAACAATCCTGGTTATCCTGCTCCTTTCTTGTTTCGGGAGAGGGATGTGAGCACAGATCCGGATAGGAACTGATACCGAAGTGTTCCAGTGGGTACTTAAACTGCAACCACACGTTACAGAGTCACCCCCAGTGCATTTTTAGCCAGACCGAAGTGTACAGAAAGGAGACAGCTTGGTGGTCATGTATCTGTGGACACCGCGACACGCACACAAAAGACGGGAGGTGACAAGTGTGCAACTGCTGCCTTAGTTTCGCACACCCTCCATTCCTGGGTTCCTCCTGCCTCATAGTAGCCAGCCCCTGACCAGCTGAAGCCTCTCCTGAGGCTTCCCGGCTTGGGCTGTCCTTTCTAAACAGAGGCCAGCACTGTGAACTCCATCTCGTCTTGGGCTGTCCTTTCTAAACAGAGGCCAGGACTGTGAACTCCATCTCGCCTTGGGCTGTCCTTTCTAAACAGAGGCCAGCACTGTGAACTCCATCTCGCCTTGGGCTGGTCTGAATTTACCACTGGAAGTGCCTGCCCTATGGCAGCTATTGTTCTGAAAAGTAATGCAATGGATGGAGTCCCTAAGAATGAAAGGGCTGGCAGTGAGATCTAATCTCTACTGACCAAACATGCCCAGCCAGCATTTGAACTCTACGATTTCTAGAGGGACATGTCAGCCCCTGTAACAGCCGGAGAACAAACTATGCCAGAAGAGGAAGAGGATATAATCTTCCCAGGATTTTTTACATATATTTACTTGGACTTTTATCTACCTACAATAGAAGATACAACCATTATATTTCCCAATATTATTAGGAATAAAGCTGCATTTTATTTTTTAAAAAGACATACTTTATAACGTAAGATTATATGGAGAAAGGTTGAAGTAGTTTAATAAATATTGATCTTGCAATTACACTCCTTGGTATATACCCAAAGGAAGTGAAAACTAATGTTCACATAAAATCTGTTCAAAGCTCTCATGTACACATAAATTGTGGTACATCCAGACAATGGAATATTATTAAGTGTTTAAAAAAACAAGCTATCAAGCCATGAAAAAGCAGGGAGTTACCTCAAACACGTATTATGAAAGAAACCAATCTGAAAAGGCTATAAACTACAAAAGGCTACAATCTTACATGATTCCAATTATATGACATTCTGGAACACACAAAACTACGGAGACAATGAAAAGATGAATGGTTACCAGCGGTAAAGGGGAGGGAAGGATGAATCAGCTGAGCAGAGGGCTTTCAGGGCAGGGAAATTTTCTGTGTGACACTATAATGGTGGATATATTGTCCAAACCCATAGAAAGTACACCACCGAGAGTGAACACTAATGTAACCGATGGACCTTAGGTGACACTGACGTGCCAACATGAGCTCATAGACTGAAACCAAAGTGTCACACTGGTGAAGGATACGTTGATCGTGGAGGAAGTTGTGCATGTGTCAGGGTAGGGGGTGTATGAGAACTCTTTCTACTTCCTGCTCAGTTTTGCTGTGAACCCAACATTATTCTAAAAAATAAAGTCAATTAAAAAAAATTAATGGAGAAAACTTTGAAATATTCACTGAATATTTCTAATATGGCATAGGCTCTAGAGCTAGATTCCTTAGCTAATAATATAGTTGAAAACGTCTGTAATATAAAAGTTGGAAATAAATGTCCATGGTGGTAGCATCTAGCTAATTACACTTTACAAAGATGGTGCAAATACTGGTGGCTATGCAACATATTGCTTTGTTTTAGGATTTCCTGTGAAATGCTACCAAAAGTTTCTCAAGAGAGCATTTTAGGATCATCAGACACTTGCTACAAATAAATGTCATGAGGAAGTCTAGAACAAAGGTTGGTACCACTACAGGCTGCGAGTTGAATGCAACTGTTCCTGTTCTTCTAAATAAAGTTTTATCGGCACATAACCATGCCCAATTGTTCCTATATTGTCCATGGCTCCTTCCATGCTACAACAGCACAGGTGAGTACCTGCAACATAAGCCCCACAAAGTCTAAAACATTTACTATCTGGCCTTTTCCAGAAAAGTTTTCTGTCTCCAGACAAGAACAGACTGGTGGTATTTGGTAATATTTTTGTATTAAAGAAAGAATATTGGTTTTTTATACTTCTTTACTTGTACATGATAAATTATGCAGCCCCACAAGGCAGTTCTCTAATGAGGATCAAAGAGGACCAAAGCTATAAAATAAATCCAAATAAAGTGATATGAGACCATGGTTAGCCAAGATGCTACACTTACATGGTCATATTTGTAAGTGTACTAGTAAAACAAAGGCAATATGTTACTTCACAGCACAGCACCTCATCTTCTTATCTGAGAAATTAGGATAACAGCGTCTGCCTCATTGGCTGCTGAGAGAAGTCAATGAGGTAATAAGTGTAAGGTAATTGTAGCAGTTTCAGGCATTTATTGATCATTAAGAAATATATTAAAAAGTTACTAATATTTTCATACAATTTAATCATGATTTCTTTTCCTTAAAGTTATTCCTATAACTAAGGACATTTTCTTGAGGTTAGAATTTTAAAACTGTGCCTTTAAGGGGGAAAAAAATGCATCAAGAATGCTGAGTGGGCAGTATCCCACTTTCAATTCTAGTTTATCTTTGTTTTATATATTGAGGCTCCAAAAAATATTTAGTCTGGGGGAAAAAAAAAAGATGTCACTGCTTTTAAAATGAATTTAAAAACAAAGGACCAAAAAATATTTCATTTTACATGCCATAAAAGGCTAACAATGTAGAAAAAAAATCCCATAATAAAATAAAGTGACCTGAAGAACCATATACAATTTCACATTGGTTAGCTGTTACATAAGTAATTATCATTATTCTACATTTTTCTTAACAATCCTGATTGTAACATCTTGAACCTTGGAATTTAAAATAAAAGCAGTTAACATCAAAACAACATCAAAAAAGCAGTTAACATCAAAACAACATCAAAAAAGCAAACAATATGAAAATTTATTATATGTATATTTCAATTGCTACTACTTCATGAAACAATAAGAGTAATATAAACATTTTAATTTCTTACATTATGCAAATAAATTAAAATTTTTGATGTGTGAGAGAAGGTTGGTATTTTTAAATAATCTAAAATCTTAAGGATGAAATTCTTCTTTCTCTTATCTTTTTAATAAAAATGGCAAACAAAACAGCATGATCTATCAATATTAGAATGAGAGTAGTATCTTTGGAAAATTTATGACTTAAATGGTTACCTAGTAGACTAAATTATTACTAAGAAATAAAACCTGTGGATCTTTATTTCGAATTGAAGAATACTTTTAAGACCATAAAAATTAATAATTTTAATCATTATGCAATCTCTAAAAACAGGATAAAGTGTACCTGATGTCCAGCCTTTACTTGCTTCAAAACACTTTCATAACATACTTCATCCATGTTATTCAACTGCTGTACCTTAAAGTTTATAAAACATGAAAAATATCAAACAAAGCAATTATAAACTGCTTAGCTACAAAAAATCTTTACCAATTATGAGGCATCTCCTTTTACTTTCAGACTAGCCAGAATGCTGAAACAAGAAGAGCAGTTATCAATACGTAATACACAGCAACCCACAGGAAGTAAACACAATGTAATTAAAACTACAAGTAAAATACCTCACATGCAACACTTTCAGTGTACTAACTTTATTAAGAATGCCAAGTTTTTTAAAGACAATAATTTTAAGAACAATATTCTAATTAGAGATATTTTAAAATAATTTTAAGGTTCTTTCCACTGTTTTCCCCAGAGAGCCCACTCTTCAGGCTTTTTTTTTCTTCTGTTTCATTTCATAAAAATATAGAGATTTCCTAACTCTCAAAATAACAGAATATTACCATAGAATATCAAAATGTAAGAAAAATTACTATTTCTGTAATGAATATGGAGTACAGTAAATATTTTTCTACAGAAACATTTTCCAAATTGATTGGAAATTTAGTATCAAATTCAAGAATTTTAAAAAGGTCTCATTTTCTCTGTTAATGATGAGATGACTTCCAACCAAAAAAAGGTAAGGTGGTTACCTTAAAACAGCAGGCATGAGACCAAGCTTGCGTCTCTCTATTTAACACTGATGAAGACTTTGCATGGGATGAAAATGTTATACATCTAAAATGACTATAATTTACAATCTTTGTTTTAATAAAGGAAACATTTTAACATTCTAGAACTCTTATGACTTAGCGATTAAGTAAGATGAAATAATCACAAGAAAATTGACTTTCAATTAATGACACACAAAAAAAAAAACACTAAAACTCCTCCAAAGAAAATTCTTAATAACTTTTTTGGTTAATTTTGGATTGAATTCTGATCAAGGGCATTATTTCAAATTAGACGTGTCATGGACACTATTTTCCCATGTTCTTCCACTACAACTGAATCATATCATGAGCTTCTGAAAGAAACTTTTGAAAATCTACAAGGATTTCTTAGTATAAGAAATGACAAATTAACAATGGTTAGAATAAATTAAACGACACCCTGGGGAAATGCTTAATTGTTACCAACTGTATATGTCAGCTGAGTGTAAAACTAATGTGTTTTAGTAAGACAAAAATGCATATTTATAACTAATATGTATAATTAGTTTATTATTTATACTACATAATATTGATAAAAGTATTTTTTAAATTTTGCCAAATTCCTGAACCTTCTAAATACCACAGATCAACATCTCACACCATTCCTTTTATGATTACAATCCTAACATATTGTGGTGAAAATACTTAGAATTTAATTAGCTTTAAGTGATTTACCAATTTCTATGATAAAAATAAGTTTTATGATGGCTGAAAGCATCTGAAAACACTTTATATTTTTCTGTGATAATCATTTGCTATTTGCTATCATTTAAATTATAAATTGAAAGAACAATCTTATACACAACTCTATATCTGTTCTAATAATACATTAAAATAAACTAAATAATCAAATATATTTTAAGATATAACCAAAAAAAAGCAGCAAGTAATACCAGAAAGCACTTGAAACAATCAAAGAAAATATGCATTTCATAACTATTACTATATCATGACTATCCTTTGTATACACATTTGAAATGGTTCCCCACAATTCTAAACATATCTTAGTTAATATGCAGATAGAGTATATTAACTGTTGCAGTGATATTGGCTCTTAGTATTTTCTAAGCTAACTATTTTATTTATAATATTGTAAGGTAAAAATAGCTCTATTTTAGTAACAAAATTATTTTTAGATAAGAAGTAATATAATACACTAAAGAACAAGTTTGACACAGTAACACATTCTATCTCATTTTCCTTTATAAAGAGGTCATCTGGCCCATGAACCTTCTCCTAAAACTATTTGTTCCACAGGGGGAAACAAATGTCATGAAACTTAATAAACGTATAAATTTTAAGCAAAATATTCCTTCATGATTCTATAAAAGCCTAAAATAAGCACCCCGATAATGCAAATGGTACATGGTAATAACATTTAAGGAACATCTCAAAAGAATTTCAGAAATGCTGCTTGTATATATAATTAATATGATAATTATACAACAAATTAAACAGAACACCTCATTTAGTAGTTGTTATCATGAAATTATTTTTCAATTGTATATATGGTATTACTTATTTTAGATGAATAATATAATATATATTACTGATTTAACTAATCTTTTATTATTTCACTGTCCTCAACCCTATCAAAATAACTTCTTGAATATATGTATATAACTTGTATTCTTAGCTAAGAATACAAAATATTCACTGATAAAAGCATAACTGATAACTATTACAAGCAGCTTTTTGGAGAGGAGACATTCTCCTACATATAGCTGAGGACATGCGCTTGATTTTCTTCTAAGCTGTCATATTTGTAATGGTGGTCTGAAGTCTCTAATGTCAAACAAGTATTAAACAATATATCAACAATAGTATTTCTAGAAAAGCATAATTTTTTAAAAGAAGTATTTACCTTATTTGCACTTTTAACCCCTAGAAATGTCTGTCCAAGAGGAACAGGTCGAAAACGGCCATCAAAGAAGAAAAGTCCAATGCAGGGATTAACATGTAAAAACGTAGCAATGTCGAGGTAGTTGGGTAAGGTAGCAGAGAGTCCAAGAATTCTTATCATACTCTGCGTGGATTCAACCTATAGGAGTTAAATAACATATAAGACATTAAATAAATTATTTAATTTATACATTATATTAAGTGACACATAAATAACGTGTGTAAGTCTTAAATAATGTGTGAGACTGGATTTCTACTTAGTTTAAAGAAAGCTTTGGTAATATAAAGTATGAAATATTTGCAGTAAAATACAATCACTAAAGGTATTGAGAATAACAATACATAGCCTGAAAGATAATATGCCTGAATTTGGCATGTGGAATGATATAAAAAATTATTAAAAATGTACTTTGAGTGTATTTCCTGAACTGGAAAATTCTATTAGTTAAATGGTTTCTTTTGTTTTCCTCCTAAAAATGTAATAAGGCAAGTGACATGTGTTAGGCTTTAGTGTTATCTTATAATTTCAAGCACTTAAAGTATATACTCTTTATTCTCAAGTTCAGAAATTTCAAATTCATTTTAAACACAAACATGCAAAAGTCTGAAATAATTAAGGCAGATTCTTCTAGTGTTTTACAAGTTTAAATTTAAAATGATATACTGTATAAGGGAGAGTTTATGTGGAATAACAGCCAAACTTGGGGGGAAATTCACAAGTACATTCTCAAAGAATGTACTAAGCTTCATTCTTTGTGTTCACTCAGTTCAGTTCAGTTTCTCAGTCATAACCGACTCTTTGCAACCTCATGGACTGCAGCACGCCAGGCTTCCCTGTCTCTCACCAACAGCTGGAGCTTGCTTAAACTCAGGTGCATCTAATAGGTGATGTCATCCAACCAACTCAATCTATGTTGTCCCTTCTCCCGCCTTCAATTTTTCCCAGCATCAGGGTCTTCTCCAATGAGTCTGCTCTTTACATCAGGTGGCCCAAGTACTGGAGATTCAGTTCCACATCTGTTCTTCCAGTGAATATTCAGGGTTGATTTCTTTTAGGATTGATTGGTGTGATCTTGCAGTCCAAGGGACTCTCAAGAGTCTTCTCCAACACCACAGCTCAAAAGCATCAACTCTTCAGTGCTCACCTTTCTTTATGGTCCAACTCTCACATTCATACATAACTACTGGAAAAACCATAACTTCGTCTATATGGACCTTTGTCAGCAAAGTAATGTCTCGGATTTTTAGTATGCTGATTAGGCTGGTCACAACTTTTCTTCCAAGAAGCAAGCGTCTTTTAATTTCATGGCCGCAGTCACCAGCTGCAGTGATTTTGGAGCAACCGCCCCCCCAAATAAAATTTGTCATTTTTTCCATTGTTTCCACATCTATTTGCCATGAAGTGATGTGACCGGATGACATGATCTTAGTTTTTTGAATGTTGAGCTTTAAGCAGCTCTTTCACTCTCATTAAGATGCTCCTTAATTCCTCTTTACTTTCTGCTATAAGGGTGGTGCCATTTGCATATCTGAGGTTATTGGTACTTCCCCCGGCAATCTTGATTCCAGCTTGTGCTTCATCTAGTCTGGCATTCCGCATGAGGTACTCTGCATATAAATTAAATAAGCAGAGTGACAATATACTGCCTTGATGTACTCCTTTCCTAAATTGGAAACAGTCTGCTGTTCCATGTCCAGTTCTAACTGTTGCTTCCTGACCTGCATACAGATTACTCAGGAGGCGGTCTGGAATTCCCATCTGTTGAATTTGCCACAGTTTGTTGTGATCCACACAGTCAAAGGCTTTGGTATAATCAATAAAGCAGAAGTAGATGTTTTTCTGGAACTCTCTTGCTTTTTCGATGATTCAGTGGATGTTGGCAATTTGATCTCTGGTTCCTCTGCTTTTTCTAAATTTTTGAATATCTGTAAGTTCACAATTCAGATATCGCTGAAGCTTGGCTTGGAGAATTTTGAGCATTACTTTACTAGCATGTGAGATGAGTGCAATCATGCGGTANATAGACTTGGATTACTGTGATATTGAATGGTTTGCCTTGGAAACGAACAGAGATAATTCTGTCATTTTTGAGACTGCACCCAAGTACTGCATTTCAGATTCTTTGCTGACTATGAGGGCTACTCCATTTCTTCTAAGGGATTCTTGCCCACAGTAGTAGATACAATGGTCATCTGAATTAAATTTGCCGATTCCAGTCCATTTTAGTTCACTGATTCCTAAAATGTCGATGTTAATTCTTGCCATCCTCTTGTGTCCACTGCTAGGGTGTAAAATTTTAATTATGCTGCTAAACACTGCTGATAACATTGATTAATTTGTTTGCCAGTCATTTATTAAGCTTTTAATGCAGTGCAGGGAAAGCAGGGGTTTAAGAGTCTGCAAAAGCACAAAAAAACACTGCAATGTATCCCATTAACAGTAGCACCTTCTAAAAATTGTGAGAACAATGGAGAGATGACATGCAGAGGTGACAGCTGTTTTCTAAGAGAAGAGTAGTTAGAAATGTAGGCCAGGAAGAAAAGTGTTTAAGATACTGCACTTGGAAACACTAGTGGTGCCAGTTAGAGAAGGGAGGTAACAGAAATGTAGAAACGATTGTGAGAAATCTTGCATGCCAAGAAGTTTCTCCATTTTACTGTTTATGAACCCAGGACACTACCCCATTCTCGTTCAATTACATTTTTACAGCTTATAGTATTCTCATCTTTTTTCATTTCTAAACATTCTGTAAAATGTCTTTATCCTTTCTAATTTTGTTTACTCATAGGTTGTCTACTTGTGATTAGATTTGTTCTAAGCTTATTTTACTTTTTAAAAAACTAGCTTTAAAAATATTTTTATAGGACTCAAGTTAATACATCTAGTTTATTGTTTTTCTACTTTGTATTTAATTTTATTTTTTCAACTTTGGTATTTTTCCATTTTTTAGCATTCTATTTAATATTATCTAGCAGTTAAAATTTAATACTTAACTTATTATAGTCCCTACATATCTGTTTCATTTTAGAGCATAATTTGAACTCTGAATTATAAATTTGTCTGTACTAAGTAAACTTTCATTATTTTCTGATAAGAGTTTCACTCTCTCTTTTCCTTCCATGAGCACTTACTGAGCTCTAAGTGTCAGAAGAATAGTCTTTCAAATGACTGGGTTTTATATCAACTTATCAAATTCAAAGTGTAGAAGGTATGTGTGTATGTGTGTCTATATCTATCTATACATACACACATACAAGTGTGTTTGTATGTAGATAGGAATATATAGTTTTTTATCATATAGAATTTCTTTCAAAATTTCTATTGCATTTTGCTGCTGTTGTTCACTAGCTCGGTTGTCTCCAACTCTTTGCTATCCCATGGAGTGCAGCACGCCAGGCTTCCCTGTCCTTCACTGTCTCCCAGAGTTTGCTCAAATTCATGTCCACTGAGTGGGTGATGCTATCTAACCATCTCATCCTATATTTTTATATATTTACTAGGCTTCCATGTAAAAGTCTAATTTAAAAAAGGGCTTCTTACCTGGGAAAAAGTTTGAAAACCTCTGATGTGATTTAAGTACACATGACTTGAAATGAATTTGGTAAGCTAATCAACTTCAACCAAATTCCTTTATGAGAGAATCCATTAAAAAAGATTCTCAATCTGTAACAAAAAACTATACAGTACTATTATTTTTTTAAATCTAGGAATGTTTAATGTTCTTGCTATCATAAAATAAGGGGATTAATGGGATATACTTATTTGAGCAAATATTTTAGTTATTTCTTTCAGTTTTTTATGACCTTCTTAGTCAAAAGTTGCTTGCCTCATATTGGCATCTTCAAGTTACTATACCTAAGTGAGCAGCTCCCAACATTGGATTTCACCTTGGATATTTCAATACAGTGCATACATGGGCTGGGAAAATCCAAGGTCCCGCACTCCCTGACACAAATATCACTTACAGGAACTAAGAGAAAATGTGGCCCTGTCCCTTCCAAAATCATTCTGTAAGTAGGACAAAAATGAATCTGCTTACTCACTGTAATGGGTTATATCTGGGCTTATTTGAGGATTAAATAAAACACTATGAGATACACACATAGCTTCCCAAGCAAATCCAACCCAAGTCAAGGAACCCTAAGTAAGGGGAACTGATGTCCCTATCTGTTACTTAAGAAGTCTCCTTTACGTATTATAACTAGACTCCTTTACAGTAATTAGAATGCTATCTTGAAATACATTTACTTTTTTGGCTGTACTACATCTTATTTGCAGCACATGTGACCTTGCTCTTCCTTGCTGCATGCAGGATCTTTTAGTTGCAGCATGTAGGAATTTTTAGTTGTGGCATGTAGGATCTAGCTCCCTGACCAGGGATTGAACACAGGGCCCCTGCATTGGGAGCATGGAGTCCTAGCCATGGGACCACCAGGGAAGCCCCCTAGAATAATTTTAATTATACCATAGTTCTATTTACTATTGGTGGTGATTTGAAAGGATATGAAACTGATTGTTAGCATTAAAATCATTCAACACAAAAGTTATTGAGTATATTTTTAATGCCTTTTGATGTTAAATACACAACACCTTGCAAACACTAGAGATAGTATTTTTCTGCTAAACCCCCATTTAAAAACTACTGCTATCTTTTTAATCTAAAAATAATCTATTATACTCATAAGTTTGTATGAGAAATATTTTCCTTTAAATATGGATAATTAACTTTATGTCTTAAACCACATCTTGAAACTCTACACACTATACAGAGTAATCTGAAAATATTAATAGTTGAAAACTAAAAAAAGTTAACATTTTACAGTTTCTTCTTTATCATTAGCCCAAAAAATAGGCAGCAAATTTTTATAGCATTTTCCCTCACATAAAATCTAAGTTTGGACAAAGTCTCCCTACTCACTGAAAGTAAATTTAGTTAAAACAACTAATGTTAGTTCAACACTGTTAAATACAACAGATTTGGCTTTTGTTCTATTTTTCTCTTTTCCAAATCTCTCTCATGCCAAGGATGTTGTGAATTTAGTACCTAATTCCATCATGTAATTTTAGAACCTGAACAGAATCTACATCGCATTAGAAAAGCTCCCTATGGTGTGTCTATGCTAGTTACAAAGTGCCAT